TCTGAGTTATCACACTGAAACTTTACCAATTCAAAAAAATTTAAAAATCTTGTAAAAAAGGAAATTCTAGTAACAGGATTTATTTGAGTTATGTCGGAAAAACTAATTTTACTGAGCTGTAAGTTGGAATCGCTGTAAGTAGGAATGATCTTTTTTTCTGAGTTTGTAACTCGGTTTTTCTGCTCTGCAAATAGGAAAAATCGATTTTTCTAAGTCGAAAAAAGAAAAATCTTGCTAATAAAAAAGTTCAAGTAAAAGACTTGTAGGAAAAATTATTTATTTGACTTATACTGAGATTTTAGTCGAAAACCTGATTTTACTGAACTATAAGTTTGAATCCGAGTTACAAACAGGAAAAAATCAATTTTCTGAGTTATCATAAGGAAAAATCGACTTGACTAATTCGAAAAAATACAAAAATATTGCAAAAAAATATAGTAAAGGATTTATTTGAGTTATAAGACGGGAAAACTGATTTTACAGTTACAAATAAGTCTGAAAAACCGAGCTATAATTTGAAATTTTTTGAGTTATAAACGAGAAAAAATTTTCAGTTATAATTTGGAAAAAATAATTTTTAAGTCCGAAAAGTAAAAAAAAATCTAATAAAAAAATATATGACATTAAAAGACTTTTTTCAGTTATCAGGGAATTACAAATGTATTTTTTTTAGCAGCAAGTTAAAATGATCGAAGTTTGCCGAGTTATCAATGGAAAAATAAATTTTTCTGAGTTTCCGTTTTACTGAGCTAGCTGTAAGTGGAAATCATCATTTTTCTGAGTTACAAACAGGAAAAATCGATTTTTCTGATCTGCAAATAGGAAAAACTAATTTCACTGAGTTTTAAGTCGAAAAACAGATTTTGCTGAGCTATAAGTTTGAATCATCAATTTTTCTGAGTTATAAACGAGAAAAAAATCAATTTTTTGAGTTTACAACTGGAAAACATCAAATTTTCCGAGTTACATTTTTTTTTTGAGTTATAATTTAAAATTCGAAAATTGTTTGAGTGAGAAATTTTGTAAGAATATTTTTTTTTAGTTTAGTCTAAAATAAACGTTCTTGTAAGCGCCAATAATATTTCCAGTTTCCGAAGGTCTTAATCGTGCAAACTGTTGAGATAACGTGAAATTTCTTATAGAATGCCCACTATTTTTTATGATTTAATTTTTAATAATAAAAAAATAACCAAAATTGTTTTATTCAATCAAAGTGACCCCAATCACAAAACAATTATATCAGAAAAAATATACTCCTATTATTAGAATTAAAGATAGTGTTTCTAAATTAGTATCTAAAAATCTCTGCTTACATACCTATGTCAGAACAAACCAAAAAAATAAAACAATAGAGAACTTTAACCCCAATTCATAATATATCCTACAGTAGTACACTTAACAGATAAGACAATCTTCTCTTAAAGTACTAATTCCCAAAACAATTTAATTATTAGTAAACAATAATTATGTTAATAAGTAAGAGTATTATTAAATCATTATTATTAATGTAATCAAAATTATAACATTACCTTCTACATATTTTTTTTATATATACTGTTCACAGTTCAACGTCGAAGATTAAAATAAATTGCAAAATATCAAGTTTCGACAGCACCAATGCTTATCAACAAAAAATTCTCTGAAATATGGATAGTCATTGTTTTGGATAAGATCCTTGACATTGTCAATAGGATGGTTTGGTTATTTGTTATCGATCTATCGACAATTAGAAACGTTTTGTAAATATTTTGATACCAATGTTGATTTTTCAAAATATTCATAACTCGGACTTCTAGTTTTTGATTTTCGATAATCTAAAATCTTAAAATGATTAACCGCTTTCATCGCGTGTAAATTTCGTTTGAAAGTTATATACACTCCCTGTATATTTTTAGACCTTTGATTTTAGCGCATTTATTATTTGTATCAAAATGCTGCGACTTTAGTATTCGCGAATTTGGTTAAATCAAACCACAATAACGATTTTTATAGTTAAAGTTTTGGTCCAATTTGACTAATTATTCGATTAGAAACCACAGTAAGTTAAGGTTTGAACTAATTTAACTAATTCATTTCGCAATAGTGACTTTTAGTTAACGTTTTGGTCAATTTAACTAACTCAAAAAACAAGAGAAATTAACTAGTTAGATTTTTAATAAACTTAAAAACAACAGTGGTTTTGGTTAGTTGTTCAGTTAATTTAACTAATTATTAAAAACATAAGTTAAATAGGGTGGCCACTAAATGTTTTTCTAGTTACGATTTTTAATAAACTTAATCACAATAGTGGTTTTAGTATTTCAGTTAATTTAACTAATTATTAAAAACATAAGTTAAATAGGGTGGCCGGTAAATGTTAATTATCTAATTTACAAAAAAAAAATTAAAATTTAAGCGACTTTTGAGCTTTTTAATAAAAATCAGCCATCTACACTCCATAATTTTTCAGAAAGTTGTCCTAGTAAAAGTTTTGAGCTAATTTAGTTAAATACAAAACAGCGACTTTTTAAATGTTACCAATTCAATCACAAGCGATTTTTTAGTTACATATTTTATTTAAAAATAATTTAGTTTCATGTTATTTTAACTAAATAAATGGAGATTATCAATTTTTAGTGAATTTAATTAACCTGGTAATTTTTAATTTGGTTATATCTAATTTAATTCTCGAAAGTTAATGTTTTGTCCAATTACTAATTTAACACATCGCTACACTGTTTTGAATCAGTATTTTAGTTAATTTAACTTTATCGATTAATTTCAGCTATTTTTATAAGTGTTTTGATCAATTTAACTATTTAACTTGCAATTCTGTAAGTTTTAAGTTAGTGTTACAATAAAATTAACGAAATCACTTATTAGTTCTTTGGCAAATTTAACTAATCCAATAAACATCGATTTTTTGATTAAATCAAATTACCCATTTAATTTTTTGATCAATTAAAATTTAACCAACAATTCTGTGAATTTTTTAGTTTGTGTTATAGTCAAATTCATTAAATCGATCCACAATTCATTTATTAGTCAGATTTAAATTTAAATAATCCAACCAGTAGCTACTTTTTGGTTGTTTTAGTCGATCTAACTAATTAAAAACAATTTCATAACTTTTTGGTTAGCGTTATAGTAAAATTAATTAAATCCATCACAACTCAATTATTAGTTAGATCTTCAGTAAATTTAACTAATCCAAATCAGTAGCAAGTTTTTAGTGTGTGTTTTAGTCACAATTCCATAACTTATTAGTTAGTTATTTGGTAAATTTACCTAATGCAGTAGCAATTTTTCGGTTAATTTACAGTAGCGACTTTTTGGTTCTTTTATTCAATCTAACTAATTAATAATAATTCAATAACTTTTTAGTTAGCGTTATAGTAAAATTAATTAAATCTAACTAATTAATAATAATTCAATAACTTTTTAGTTAGCGTTATAGTAAAATTAATTAAATCCATCGCAACTCATATAATACTACGACTACGGTGGTGTAGGTGTCTACGGCGCGGCATTCATTTGTCAGCCAATTTTCTGGTAAAACGAGACACGGTTTCAGATCCTACGGAAAACCATGTGAATTTATTTGCATGGTTCTCTATTGGATAAAATCACCATGCGCTACCGTTTTCGATGATGGTGGGTGGAGTTTTCCTAATCTGTAAGTCAAATGGCATCATCAATCATCTTTATGTCGCCCCAGAGCGCCACGGCAAATAATAATAATAGCCGTCCCTTTCCCCGCACAAGCTCAGATTTTGGGGTTAAAATTCATTCGTAAGGGGGTGAATTAGGGAGAGTATTATTATATTAGATCTTCGGCAAATTTAACTAATCCAGTGAGTAGCAACTTTTTGGTATATTAGTTAATATAACTAATTTAAGTCAAAATTCCGTAACTTATTAGTTCTTTGGCAAATTTACCAAATGCAACAGCATTTTTTGGAAATTTTACAGAAGCGAATTTTTGGCTGTTTTAGTCAAACTAACTAAAGACAATTCCATAATTTTTTGGTTAGCGTTATAGTAAAATTATTAAAATCCATCACAACTCGTTTATTAGTTAGATCTTTGGTAAATTTATCTAATCCAATCAGTAACAACTTTTTGGTGTTTTAATTAATATAACTAATTCAAGTTACAATTCCGTACCTTATTAGTTTGTTCTTTGGTAAATTTACATAATGCAACAGCAATTTTTCGGTTGTTTTAGCCAATCTAACTAATTAAAAACAATTTCATAACTTTTTGGATAGCGTTGTAGTAAAATTAATTAAATCCATCAAAGCTCATTTATTAGTTAATCTTCGGTAAATTTAACTAATCCAATGGGTAGCGCAACTTTTTCGTGTGTATTAGTTAATATAACCAATTTAAGTCACAATTTCGTAACTTGCTAGTTAGTTCTTTGGCAAATTTACCTAATTCAACAGCAATTTTTCGGTTATTTTACAGTAGCGACTTTTTGGCTGTTTTAGTCAATATAACTAATTAAAGATAATTTTTTGGTGTGTGTTATAGTAAAACTGATTCAATCCTTTAAGAACTCACTTATTAGTTAGAGCTTGGGATAATTTAACTATTCCAATCACTAGCATCTTTTTGAATGTTTCAGTTAATATAACTAATTCAAGTCACAATTCCGTAACTTTTCGTTAGCTTACATCAATCCATAACATAATTCAAGTAATTTTTTGGTACAGTCAATTTAACTAATTGAAGCCAAAATTAAGTAACTTATTAGTTAGTTCTTTGGCAAATTTACCTAATACAAGAGCGATTTTTCGGTTATTTTAATCAATTCAATTAATTAGCTACATTAAGCAGTACCTACCAGCACAAAAAAAACACTAAGGGCCAGTTTTTTCATCTCTAAGTAAAGTTAAAATAAACTACTTGCTGATTAAAGTACAGGGCGATTGGTTGTTAATCTGTCAAGTAAACCTACATGTAACTTTACTCAGAGGTGAAAAGATCGCCCCTTAGTCTCAAAAAAAATGTCTTACCTTAAGGTACGATCGGTTCCCGCAAAAACTCAACTGCTTGTTGACCTTCTTGGCGGCCTTCTTCTTGACAGGCGAGGTCGTTGTCGAAGAGGACGTTGTGACGTTCCTCCACTTGGGTATCAGCGATAGCAATTTCGATTCGGAGGGCGACTGAGGGCAGAGAGGGGGAAAGGCGGCGTAGTACTTTTCGGCCAGCTCTTGCGGCGTGATCTTCTTGTTCGATTCGGCGTCTTTGGTTCCTGGATCTACCTCGGCGGATGTGCTGGATGATGTGGTGGTGCTGTTGGTAGCCGGTGCGGGTAATGCGGAATCGTCGTTCACTTCCTTGAGTTTTTCGCAGAGTTCGTCGACCAGAGATTCTATCTCACAATTCTGGAATTGGTTTTGGGATCGTTGATGATTGCGATTTGGAAATATTGGTCAAAATAATGCAACGGTTTATGTGTATAATCCATCATTACGTTTATTTTGCGGAAAAAAAAAATCGAGAGACAGTATTTTGTAGTAAATAAATTTAGAAATTAGAAACCTATACGGTGTAATAAATCAATAAATATTAAAAATGTAAAGTTGTGGAAATACTCCCAAGTCACAGATCCATTTCCCTTACTCTAAAGTGAACTAAACAGAACAAATAGTTACTAAAAAAAGTCGCGTCCTAGCATATTTTGTAGTTTTTAAAATGGCAAAGCTGTGTATAAAAAAAATTAGTAAATTTTATTTAACTTTCATTTATTAGTGGTAGTTTTCACCGAACTGGTGAATTGTTTCACCGTTGTTAAACATGTCAAGAGGTGGAAGTCTTATCTCTACTCAAGGTTTTAAAGTCACAAAAATACAAACCAAGGTAACTGAAATTATTCTGTAGGCGTTTGAAAGTTAGTTTTTTTTTTAATATAATTTAGTTTTCTATTTTACAGTGTTTTTTATAATATCAATAGTTTAATTGTTTAAAAGGTTAGTTGCAAAACAGTAAGGAAAAATTATGGAATGATTTCTATTAAATTTTGGATTAGTTACATTTTTATTTGAATTATAAATATGTTATATGAATGGTTCATTTTAAATATTTTTTGGGTTAGGGTACGGCACCAGGGTCAAACTCGAACTACATTTTGTTTATATCCTGAAATTATTTGAAATTTTAACATGTCTGGAGTTGTAATGTTGCCTATGTGCAAAGGTACAAACTTAGTTAATTACCTGATAAATGTTTATACATTTAAAAATGCTTAATTAATCAGTACTGCAAATAAATAATGTTTATGAGAATAAAACATCTATTTTTTTATGAAAACGAACTGCACTTAACAGACAAAGAATAGGTGAAGATTTATGATAATTCTAGAAAACTAATAATATAATTATTTATCAATCTCAATAGATCTAGGAGGTCATTTTATATTTGTTGATAAATATTGATTCTAAACAAGTTTTTCAAGTAAAATTTTTCTCTATTTGTAAAAGTAAGGGTACTTTTACTGTTGAGAAAAAATTCATATTTTTTGATCACCCTCGTACATGGTCAAACACTTTATTTAAATGTTTCGAGTAGGTACTAATGTAATGTCGAAATCTCCTCTATATTTATTTTAACAGTAATTCCAATTGGTAAAATTTCAGATAATTTAAAATGTTTAAAAACTTATATACAGGGTGTACCAATCTTGTGGAAAAGTTCGATATCATCTTTGTTGCAAGAAATATTAAAAAAATATAACATTTGTAGAATGACCGGAAGGTCACATTTTAAAATTACATAGTTATACAGGGTGTTGCTTGACTCTAGTACGAACCAAACATATTTTTTTAAACCAGAACACTAGTTTATTAATATTAGATTAACATTACTCTCATTTTTTCCATTCTTCTAATATATAGATTGTCTAGGTTATATAGGGTACACTAAAAGTAATTGGCACTTTTGTATGAAAATTCTAAGCTTATTAGTGTACAGGGTTTCTAGACTCGGACCCTTGATTTTCGTGTTTTGTTTAAATGGGACACCCTATATTTTTTATTACCGGTAGAATCCTCTGAAAAAAAGCCTTTAATTTTTGTTAAGCATTTCCAATACCTACAGTTAATAATTAGCGATATTTTGTAACATACAATTTTGAAAGAAACCAAATATTTTTGGAATAAAATGAAATAAAAAAAAGGGAGGACCTTCGGAAAATAAAGGTAATTTTTAAATAAGTATGGGTAATTTTGGAAGTTTTTATTGATTTTTTAATGGGGTACTTTTCAAAAATAGGGTATTTTCGAAAAGGGACAATTTTTAGTTAAAAAAGTAAATTTTGGAACTTTTTTTTAAATGGCAATTTTTTTAAAATATTTGGAACAATTGTCGAAAAATTGGATAATTTTTAACTGGGAATAATTATTCCAAAAATTGTGATAATTTTTTAAAAAAGGTTAATTTTCCATACAAAAAAATGGGAAAAAAATGTTGAAATAAAAATTGAGCTAATTATACAAATGGGATAATTTAAAAAAAAAATCTATATCAAAAAAATCAATTTTTCAAAATATATAAAAAAGAAGAAATTGGACGATCACAAGAAAAAATGAGATATTTAAAAAATGGTGTAATTATTCCAAAAATAGGGTAAAAAAATATATAAATAAAAAAGGTTACATAAAAAAGAAGAAAATGGGGTGATATAGCAATTTTTTAAAAAATGGTTAATTTTCCATAAAAAAAAGGGAAAAAATGTTGAAATAAAAATTGAAGTAATTATACAAAAAATAAGATAATTTAAAAACAAATTCTATATCAAAAAAACAATTTTTCAAAATATATAAAAAAGAAAATAGGGCGATCATAACAAAAAATGAGATATTTTAAATAATGGTGAAATTATTCCAAAAAAAATGGGGTAAAAAAAAAAGAACAGAAGAAAACAAAATATGGTAAAAAAATATAAAAATAAAAAAAGGTTACATAAAAAAAGAAGAAAATGGGATGATTATAAAAAAACCAAGTATTTTTGGAATAAAATCAAATAAAAAAAGGTGGACCTTCTGAAAATAAAGGTAAATTTTTTAAAAAAGTATGGGTAATTTTGGAAATGTTTTTATCGTTTTTTTAATGGGATAATTTTCAAAAATAAGAAAATGGGGCGATTATAACAAAAAATTGAGATATTTTAAAAATGGTGTAATTTAAAAAAGAAAAAAGGAACAGAAGAAAATAAAAAAGAAATATTAAAAAAGGTGGTGTAAAAATGCTAATTTAAAAAAATTAAATAAATAAAAAGATGTAAAATATGGTAAAAAATGTAAAAATAAAAAAGAAGAAAATGGGACTATTAAAGAAATCAAGTATAAAATGAAATAAAAAAAGGTGGACCTTCGGAAAATAAAGGTAAATTTTTTTAAAAAAAGTATGGGTAATTTTGGAAGTGTTTTTATCGTTTTTTAATAGGGTATTTCAGAAAAGGGGTATTTTTAGTTAAAAAATAACTTTAATTGGAGGTAATTTTTCCAAAAATTGTGGTAATTTTTAAAAAGCTTGATTTTCCATACAAAAATAAAAAAAATATATTGAAATAAAAATTTAGGTAATTATACAAAAAAATGGTATAATTTTAAAAAAAAATCTATATAAAAAAGCAATTTTTCAAAATATATAAAAAAGAAGAAAAAGGGGCGATTATAACAAAAAATTGAGATACTTAAAAAATGGTGTAATTATTCCAAAAAACAGGGTAATTAAAAAAAAAAGAAAATAAAGAAATATTCAAAAAAGGTGGTAGGTGGTGTAAAAATGCCAATTGAACAAAAAAAATAAAGAAAAAATAAAAAAGAAAATTAAAAAAGTGTAAAATATGGTAAAAATGTTATTTTTCGAAAAATGAAATATTAAAAAAGTAGGTAAAAAAGGAAAAAAATTAATAAAAAAAGTAAAAATTAAAAAAAAAAAATGTAAAAAAAATGTTGGTGTAAAAAATAATTGGTTTCAGTGCATTGAATTCCTTACGACTGCCAATTTCTTTTAGAGTACCCTATATAACCTAAAAGTTTGTCTAGGTTATATATTAGAAGAATGGAAAAAATGATATTAATCTAAATGTAAAATAATAAAGCGGTGTTCTGGTTTAAAAAAAAACATGTTTGGTTCGTACCTGAGTCATGCAACAGCCTGTATGTCTCTATGTAATTTTATAATAAGGCCCTCAAGCCACCCTATAAATTACGTTAATATCATACTTTTCCACATAATTGGTACACCCTGTATATATAATAATTAATTTTAAATGTAATTTCATATTTCGAAAGGAAGACAGGTCACTCTGAAGCTGATAAAAAGACATTTATAGAAGTAGTGGCGGAATCGCTGGAAATTTCAAAAAAAGATTAATTTACTGTTTAACACGTTGACTGCCGCTCATATTTTTGAGGCACTCTCAGACGCCGTTTAGTTTTATTTGTTTATTTGCCTTTATTTATGCCATAAATCGTATAAATTATAGTTTCATTAATTTTTTAATTTTTTTTTTGTCTCAAATTAGCGGAAAAAAAAATATACTCCAATCGGAGTGGTCGGCGTCAGGCATTAATATTTTCACTGGATGCCGAACACTCCGATCGGAGTCGCTATAAACTTTAGCAATAATACAAAGAAAACACACCCTAATTATTGAAAAAAACTTTTATTTGTATATAAGGAACTCAAAAGAATTAAACCGACTGCACACTGGTACGTACAAATTAAGCATACACATCACTCCGATCGGAGTAGTGGGCGTCGCCGATTGATACCAGTGCACTCCGATCGGAGTGGTCGGCAATCAACCTGTTAAGAAAAACCCAGATATGGAGTAAGAAATACGTCATTAAAAATACAAGATAAAATGACTATAAGACATTTTACACGAAATAAAAAATGTACACTAGTCACCTAACAACAAAAGAAAAGAAAAACAAAATTTGTATTTTGATTTAATTTTTAATAATATTTATTTGGTTTCTTTTGAAAGCCCAAACGACAAAATAAAAATTTAGATTTTTAGTGTTTTGTACAAACAAAAAAAAAACTTAATTATTGTACCTATTATTCTTTTAAACAGCAAAACTACAGGTAGTGTTTCTTTGGATTGATTTTGTTTGCCCCCTTTCATTGTGTCACCTTCTTTTGCATCATATACATTAGAAATTTAAATGTCATTTTTAAACCTTTTTGTAATTAATTTTTTACTAAAATCGGTCCAAATTCAAAACAGCTTTTAGATATGTATTTGTATTGCTTACATCATCTTTAGTAGATGCAATGTGTACTAGTAACTGGCATTAAATACCGGCCTTTGAACAAAAAAGATAAGATACTGTAAATTATAAAAAATGTTTAGTAACTAAAAAATCTACAT